AGCAACAGCTTATTTCATTCTGAGAGGAAAAGAAATGCATCTTTCTTACATAACAAAACAAAAACATGCCAGATAGTGGACAATTTAAAAAAAATATTAATTGCAGATTGCTTTTTGAGATAACATCTTCATCCAGCTGGATAAACACCAGGACACTGGTACATTATGCATATTTTTGATACCTCTGACTAAGCAACTGAGTCCAGTGCCATGTTCTTACTCACAGGAATCCTTAGCCCCAAACCCCTGGACAATGTATTTTCACACTATGCCTGAACTATAGAAACTCTAGCCATTCTAAATGACAGCAAGATGGAAAAGCAATGATATATTCACAACAATGGACCAGAACTCATAAAATCTCTAAGAGCAAAAAACATAAGGAACCCATTTGTACACTAAACAATATTTCATGTTCATACTAAAATTTATTACATCATCTTAAGAGCCATATAAACTGTCAGGGATTATTCCCACTGTACTGGGTCAGTGTGTCAATCCAGGTCAACAACAGCATTTTCTTCACTAAGTTAAGAATATTTCTGGGTTAATTTTGTTTCAGTCACACATCTTGCAAGGAAGGCAAAGGTCCACAGTCATTTCATGCTGCGTTTATGTTTGAATTCAGCATGTTGAAAGTCACTGCTTAGGTCCTTTATATTTAGCTTCCAGCAACTGCGACTGTTCAAGGTTTATGGCGTGGGTGGTAATAAACATACAAAGTGCCAATTATCCATAGACAAGCCAATGACTGGGATGCTTTTCTCTTGGTCAGCCACAGCCCTGCAGGCACTTCTCAGACCTAGGTCCTCTTGGGTTGAGTTGCTCAATCCAGAGCAGGTTTCATTCACTACAGTACAGACTTCTGGCTTGCTAACTAGGGGGAGTAAAGCCTGAGTAGAGGCTGCTGGAGAAACCCCAACAGGTCACTGGCTGAGCGAAAAACCTGAAAGAAATCATTACACTGAATGAAAGAAGAGTAAAAAGTCCTACAAAGCCTGAAAACTACCTCCTCTTCCTCAGGATTTCCAGCCAGACAAGCTGATCATGAGAAAAACTGGTCCATTCCAACAAAAGTAAGCAAAATCTACGGAAAACGATCCCCAAATACTTAGAACAGACTAAACATTTAAAGAACTACATGGACAAAACATGCTTAAGAGTCTAGAAATGCAATCTTTTCCTAATGGCTCATGTTTCATTTACATGAAACTGAAAAAACCACCAGTTCAACTAATCCTTCCTTTATTATACTGCCTTTAAGAGTAGTACCTGAGCTGGAAGTGTAAAAATAGGCATTAAAAAAAAAATGCAACCCTGATCTAATTAACACATCATAAGAAAAACAAGAGGTGAAAAATCACCTTTTGGACCTGCCTAAATTTCTATAACTACAGTAGAAAGATCTCAAAAGACCAAAAACTCATTCTGAAATTTGCTCTGTCCATGCTATCTGAGTGTACATGACTGATGTATTTCTCCCAAACACGAGATTAAAATTAAACTGTTGTTCCTTATCATAGCAAATAATAGCTGGCACTGTTCATAGGAATTTCCAATATTAACCCACCTTTAAACCAAAGAAAACATTTTCTCATAGCTCAGGAATCACAGGCCATGGCAGCTCATTTCTACTACCCAGGAATGCTGCCTGTGAAACTTAACCTGGTGTGAGCACATGGAAGCTTTTCAATGATTAGCTATTGTTTTATCAGCTCCATGACAGAAAAAGATGAGTTTCACCAGAATAGTAATGGCATCTAACTGGCAATGCCACCTCAAAACCAGAATAAATATTAGTAGCCAATAGGTTTTCCTAAGTGTCCTTATACAACCTTTTCCTACAAAAATGTGGGAAAAGTATTCAAAAGCCTATGCCCCCAATTAAAACACCTACTTTTAAGTATGCAACAATCCACCTGCCAAAACACTATTCCTCACTGCATGTTATGTTCCACTGGTCAAGTTTTGTCTCTTTCAGGCTTGTGTATAACAGTCAAATAAAAATCTTTATCTCCTTCTCATGCCATATTGCTGGGGCTCATGCTTTCCTCCTGAAGTGTGCTGTTTTACATGCCATAGCTGGAAGTATCACTCCTTTCCAGCAAGAACTAAGCAGACACATGAATTCAGTCAATTAAGCCTATTGATTTTGGTTATTTTGTTTGTACACATGAAGCCAGGTTTAAGCACCAGTGAACAATCATCTCACACATTGTTCACAATCATTCAACTATCTTAATATCCAGGTATGCATACACAATCTGTCAGCTTGAGCTATTTCAGAATAGTTGTGTCCATGTTTTTGTGGTATTAGCCAAACATGGATGCTGTGGAACCACAGGGTGCCTATCCCTAGGTATCTGAATCCTGCTCTCCCTCACCTCCTGAGGGACAGGATGTTGCAGGTGTGTCTCTTGACCATTACACTCTGCATGGGGGTTCAGAAGTCGGTTCTCTACATCACTGTTCAGCATCACTGCAGTAGCTGTTCATTCATTGGGGGAGGATTGCCTGTTGTACAGTATTTTTGGTTTTTTCAATATACAGTGATCACATACCTTTCATCTTGTCTCACGTCAAGTCCTGTATGTCCTTTGCCACTCCAGCATTGTGCAGTTTGTTATAGAAAATGGGCTCAGAAAAGGTACAGAGTTGTTAAGGGAGCATCATTTGCAACACAGCCACCTGTACAGATGCCCTTGAACTGCAACATTCTCGGTTACACCTCATAACTGAGAGCCCTCATCTCCCTGCTCTTTCATCACTCTTCAAAAATCACAATGCTCTTCCCTAACTCCAGCAGCTCCTTCTCAGGCATGATGGCTGTGTGGAAAGGGCACTGCTCTTGTAGTTGAAATCCCTACTGCACTTGTTTGGATTGATTTAGCTCAATGGTCTCAGCCAGTGGTTTTGTACTGGATTGAAAAGATTTATTTTAAATATCCCGACAGACTCAGATAAGACACACTCGGCCCATTTCAGCATAAAATGCAAAACATTCTTACAGCAAAATGTGCAAAACTCCCACAACTATTTAAGTTAATAATTGAAAGGCCTTCCCTCAGGGTTAACCAAGTCAAGTTAGTTATTCATCCCATTTAAAGGGCACGTACTAGGACCAAAAAGGAAGACTGTTGGATGATTTTGCATTTCATCCATGCAGAGCTGTGTATTATGACCACACAGAGAAATGCAATATGCTTCTAGAGAAGTACAATATTGCTCCATACTTTGGCATTTGTGACAGAGTGCAGCAAGCCACATATCTTGAAGCCACCCAAGCCTCTCAGATCACTATAGAAGACATCTGCATACCTGAAACTGCTCTGGTGACTTAAACAGTATGGCATTCACACAGAATGTAGACAAACTGTACATATAACAATGCATTTACAAAGTTACTTGCACTTCATACCTCCTGTATAGACACCTTTATACCTTATACCTATGGGGACTTGTGACTGATAGTCCCAACCAGTTAATTCTCCAAACAATGCTTAAAAAAAGCAAATTTACTTTAATCCCAATGCTGTTCCCAGCTTTGCAGAAAGACTAAACCATAGAAGATAACACTCTCCTTGTATAACTGCTACAGTAACTGATCATCCTTTAGGTGATCATGTTCTGAATAAGATTCATTCAGGACTGTGTGCTATCCTCTGCTCACTACCTCCATCCTGTCATCAGCTGACTGCTTTTTTAGAAAAAGGTAAAAGAAAGGCTCTCAATCAGGCAGGCCTGCTATCTTGGCCGACTGGAGAGTGTGCTGAAGGCAACACCAATTATTCCAGAAAAATGCCATTAAAATAACTGCTTAACTTTGGAAACAAATACTATATTACAGCTGAAGATTTTCATATAATTCTAAAATGTCATAAAATCTTCTGGAATCTCAGGCTTTTCTTTACTCTTTGTAGCCTATAGAGAGCATCCTACATGATTAGTCTTGCTACTAAATGCATTTAGAGGCACCCTTTTTTTTTAAGGGCAGTATAAACGTTTGCCCAAAACTAAACAAAGCATAGGATTGGGGTTTTTTTGACAGCAACTCTTTAAAAATTAGCATACTAGCATTTTGAGACTCAGGTATTTATTAGGCAAACTGAAGCACATCCTTCATGGCATTATCAAAGAGCATTCATTACACTGAGATCTCTGGATCAAATCTTTATCTGTTTCACATGCAAAGTCCTTTACTCCAACACATCTGTGTGAAAAACATCCAAGAGTAAAATGTATTCCTACATGTCCACTGGAGTTCTTGGACATTTACAGTCACTAACCTGACAAAACACTATTACAGACTTGTTTTAGGAATGTTATTCAGTCATTTCAGTGCTTCCTGTCTCTGCCTCTGTGGGCTAGTAAACTTGACTTGAACAGTTTGGTTACATTAAACTAGCTTTCCTTGCCATTACTATGATATTTTTCTTTCTTGTGAGTACTGTGAGTCATTTCCTTAAATCTTTGCTGGTTTGGCTGCGGTCTTCAGGATAGTAGGAACTGCCAATGCTCCTCTTCTACTCCTGGTTTTAATTGTGCTGTGTGCAAGAACCATTTCTCTATTAGAATAGATTTACCTCTTTAGTTGAAATAATTATATTATTGCTAATGCAAACCATTCAAGTTTGGTTGTCACCATAACTTCTTCAAAGCCATACAAGTTTCCAATTGTCGAGGGTCTGAGCCCAACATTTTCTGACTATTCTGATAAAACCCCTGCAGATAAGCAGTTGCTTCCCAAGCCTTTAGAAACATGGCCACACCATCCTATCTTTTCACGCCTTCGTTTAAACAGAATAAATAGTAAGAAGTCTTTACACCTAATTATATGAAGTCTGCTGATGCATTCTAATGGCTCAAATACTTCTCTGTGTACTCCTAGGCCTTGGGCAGAGGAAAACACACACACACAAAAAAGGAACAAGAAAAATCAATACATGAAAGACCATCCAGGGAGCCCCTGTGGTAACAAGACAGGACAGGGAACCACCCACATTCAATTCCGAACCAACAGCCAACCAAGGCAGAGACAGAACACAAGGCTAAGACCCAGGGAAGCTCAAACCAGGAGTGAGAGCTCTGGGCCAAGATTAAATGAAGCTTTTGTGCCCCTGAGTAAAGGGTGTGGCTGAGGCCCTAGGGGCTTCCTAGGGTTCAAAGATGAGTAGTTGTGAGAAATAAAAACAACCATGTTCTAAGTGCTAAATATATCTAGGTGCTTCTTACAAAACAGTGACTCACCAAGTGCAAACAATTTTATAGTAATGAAGTCACTTATTAAACTTGTATGAAAGAAACAAACAAAAAAAAAAATAAAAAAAACACCAAGAAATCCTCAAATTCCATTTTCTGTTCAGTTTCTGATAGATACCCCAAGGCTAATTTCAGCAGCTATTGGCCTTTTCTACTGAAGGGGAAGTGCATTAATTACTTCAGCCGTTATACACAATATGAAAGCCTTGAATGACTGAAGGAACCTCTGCAGTGTAAAAGAGATTTTTTCTTAGTTGAGGAACTACCATAATAATTGAGTAAATCTTATCTGCTGAGACAAACAGAAGAATAGATTTTTTTGAAATGCATCATTGTTAAATGCAGTATTTTAGCTATGCAGGACACTAAGAAGAATGCATACTACCTCATATACCAGTAATAGCAAACAAAAATAGCCAGAATATTCCTAGTAAAGAATGCTGATCCATTTGGAACCTGAATCCAGAAAACGCTTTTACCTACCTGTAATTTTATTTCCATTAGTTTAGGAACACAGAGAAAAATGGCTTTAGTGTATATTTTGTTTAAATCGAAGTATTAACTCTTCTCAGTTGTAAACTTATATCAGAGTTCAGATACCCTCTCCTTCAATAAAACCATGTTTTCCTGTTTGACGCTTTATGTGAGAAGAATAGAAAGAATAAATAACACCCCAAAATTACTGTGAAGATTACAGTGTAAAAAGGCAAATTTCAAAACAGGAATACTTTTTCTTGAGCCAGGAGAGCTTTTTTCCAGTGGCCTCTAAAGAAGACAGGAGAACCTGTCTTGTTCTTAATTAAGGAAAGAATGTGGTTATCAAGTTCAGGATTTAGGTTAGAAACCAACTTTTCCTTATTTATAGATTTGTAATGCAGTTCCTTTGACAGCAATTTAGGATGTAACCTGACATGACAAGGAGATTGCCAGTGCAGGATTATTGCTCTCATTCTTTTTGGTTTTTTAGAGTGCCATATTCAATTCTAATTCATGCTCTTATTCATTAATTACTTTCCTTACAAATAAGCCAATATCAATTATCTTTTTCTAATTGGTAATATTTAAATCTCTCTTTTTAGTGTTTTCCAATTAGATTCAGAATGTGAACTATGACTTTGCTTTTGGGAGCCAAAACAGACAGGTTTCGCTCTTGCCAGAAAGCGCCCATGCCATTTCCAAGAGCGAAAATTCCTGGACTTCTGAGCCTTGTACATTTGTTTCTAATTCTCCTAACATTTCAGAAAAGACAAGGTTCACATATTCCATCTGTTGAAAAATCTTCCAGAGATTAAGATGTTTAAAACCGTGTGGCTCTAATAAATAACAGTGTATATATAAAGTTATTCTGCACATTGAATGTTACCAAATGTTAACACCTCATGTGTGATCAGTCAGACTTTTGAGATCCAGTGGTTTTCTGTCAGGTTCGCCAAGACTTTATTTATTTCCTTGCTCATTCTCACAATCATTAATGACTCCCTTTAAAATCCTTTGGTGATGGGGAGGTACCAGAAAACTGAAAAATGTCAAATATAGCAACTATCTGTAAAAAAGGCCGGAAAGGAACCAATAAATTCTAGACTGGTCAGTTTAATTTCTTCTCCCAGAAATATTCTGGAGGAAAAAAAGTAATTGAAACAGGTAATTGGAATAGGTAACTTAATAATAAAAGTTATACACAGAAAAGGTAGCTATGACAAGAATAAATCCTACTAGGCTAATGTGTTACTGTAACAAACCAGGAATGTCTGCAGACAGGGGAGCAGAAATAGTGGCCATAACTCAGGACTTCGGCAGAGTTTAAATCCTATTTCCTGTAACATTCCCATAAAATACAGTGAAAGTTGTCAATGACATAAAAATGTGTAATAGGCATCCCCTCACAGGACTGTTGTTACCATTAGGATGGAAGGGTTTACCAAAATAGACAGATATTCTATCCTGGGCCCATATCTGTTTTGTGTTTCATTGATGATTCTATAAGAAAACTGAAAGTATGCTTCTGAGGGGTGTAGAAGCTGCAGAAGCACAGCATTAGTGCAAATAGATGTCAAAAAACCAGGAACACAATATTTAAGAAAAAACAGGATTAAATTCTTTTGGGGCAAGACCAGGAGACCATGCTGAACAACAGTACTCAACACCAAAACACACCAAAGAACAATTAGCTGGATGATGGTATTTTCAGAAAAGGACCAGGGGGTTACAGTTCATAAACACAAGCCAGTAATGCCATATAGACAGGATAAGCACTGCATAAAAAGGAATAATCAGGAGTACAGGTTGTGGTAGGATCATGCAGCTCTGTCCAGCACTGGTCAGGCCTCAGCTGGGGTGCCTCCAGCTCTGTGCCTGTGTTTCAAGAAGGATGTAGCTTACTATGGGAAGAGTGTTGCAGACCAACAAGAAATATGATCTCTGAGAACAAGCTGAAAGTCTTAGGAGCATCTAGCTTAATGAAGGTAACAAAGATTAATCAAGGCTTGATAAAAGTATTCATAAGTATCAAAGTGTGATAGAAAGAAGAAATAATTAATTCAATGTGTCCATGGTGGACAGGACAAAAACTAATAGCTTTAAGTTGCAGCAAAAATAATTCAAGTTACTTATTAAAGGGAAAAAATACTTCTTGATGGTAAATGAAGCACAGGAATTTCCTGGACAGGCCATGAAGACCTCATCATTAGAAATTGTACAGGAGTGAATAAAAAAAATAACTATCAGAAATTAACTCAGTGTAGTTAGGAGATGAATAAGATAACCATTTTGTGACCTCCTTCAATCTCTTTTTTATGGTTCCATGATTCTGTACCACTAAAAAGAGGGTTTGGAATCTCTCTGCCCTTTGTGTTAGAAAAAGAATTTATCTGGGGAATTTCTAGGGTGGGAAAAGTTTTTGTAACAGCTGTGGAAGATGTTTTATTTATTTGCTGGTGGGTGCACAGTACTTTAGAACACAATAGGCCACATTATATTATTCTGAGACATTTAAGTTAATGGGACTCATTTGGGGAATATGGCATAACATCATGAAAGACAAAATATTATAGGCTCTTACTTCTGTAAAATAGTGAATGCAATAAAGCCTTTCAAAACACCACCAGCATTAATTTTCACCAGCAATAAACCTCTTCCAAATAATAAACCCCAAATTTAACAGTCGTCCTAGAAAAACATTTCTAGATACTACAGATGATGAAAGAATTTGTGTGCCACCTTCTCTTTCCCCACCCTCACTTTGCAGCTTTCCAAATGGCACTTTTTGCACCCACCTCGGGGAACTACAGAAAAGAGCACTTTGCTTCATTGTGGTTCTGTGAAGTAAAGAAATTTGAGGTCAAGAACAATAAATAAAGCCAAGCTCTGCAATACAGACTGTGCTGTATTAAGGGTATGTTACACTGTCTTACTCTTCCATTTATGCTTAACTTCTACCTCCTGGGTCCCTGAAGTGCAGACACAACCCAGCCATCAGCTCCATGCCCTGGGAACAGCCCCAAAGCAGACTGGAACACATCCATTGGTGCTCCCTGCAAGGTGACTCTCACTTCTCATCCCCAGGGCCGAGGGCAGACCCACACCCTTCCCAGGAGAGATCCTGCACCACTCGTGGTCTGGGACTTTGTGCAGTCCCAAACATCTGGGACTTATTACAGTGATCACCCAGTTCATGAAGTCCCTTTAAGTTCCAGGATCTATTTCATCCCAATGAATGTGGACTCTGCACAGAGGCTGAATGTGACAATGAAACATTCTCCTATTCAGTTATGCTTTTTCTGAGATTTGGAGATGTGTGTGTGTCTGTGTGTGTGTGTGTGTGTGTGTGTGTGTGTGTGTGAGGTGAGGGAAAGAGACCAGGATGAAAAAGGAAGGCAGAGAATGTAGCAAAATAGACATGGTACACCAGAATGAGAAAGATCCTGTTATTCTTGTCTTTGATCAAGCTATTGGCCCCAGAAAAAATGGCCAGTGTAAATTATATATGCCAAAGTCAACTTCAGCTGATGTTCTTTCTAGCCATTTGATCTTGCATCTGCCAACTTCCACCCATTCCCCCAATTTTATCCACATGTAATATTATGTAACCATTAAAAATGTGTTTTTCTACTTAGTTAAAGTTTTCTGTATAAAGGCATTTTATTCTTCCCCTGCAATATACTAGGAAAATAAAATGTCATTTATTCAATTGAAGTGGTTGAGTGCTGAATTTAACTACCAATAATAATACCTAATCACTGTGTGTTTTAAAAGCATTTATATGGATTTAAATAGGAAATCAAAGAGTTTGCTTCTTATTTTTTAATCTAAAAGCACATTAAGAAAGGGTTCTTTTCAGTGAATAAAAATTAAACTGTGGATAAAATTATTTTTAAGAGGTCTTTGGTTGATTATATTATTTTTATGGTTGCTGAAAAAAAGATTACTTCTGAGTTCAACCAACTGATGAGAAATAAGATTTCTGTAAGGTGGCTGTATTGCAGGAATGGATAAAACACAAGGAAAGGGACCTCCTAGACTTCCTACACTGAGAATCTGTAAATCTCACTAATTTATGAGTGGAAAATACCAAAATAATTGTTTTGCTCAGAGGAGCTAAGCACCTGTAGCTGTTGTGGATTGTAGAAGTTACGGGTGCTGTCAACACCCATAACTTGAAAATATTTGGATTGTGCAACTCACAGGTCCTGGCATCTAGAAGACACACAACTCCAGCTGGTGTTGGTCTGAGGTGAGGCGGCACACTTCGCTGAAATTCAAGTTGTTTTGATAAGGACAATGTTCACTTTCCCATCTACCAAAAAAAAAAAAAAAAAAAAAAAGTGCTTGATGACTGCAAACTTCTCAGCTG